CAACGGAAAAGTTTCGGCAAAACCAAAAAGTTGTTTCAGAGTAAACCATTGAGCCAAAAAGGTTTTGGAATGCACCTGGAACTTTTTGGAGGGTACCCGATTGTTCTGGAAACTTATGGAATTTTTCCGGAGAAAAGAACCGGAAATGTTCTGGAGCTGCTGGAAATGCTTTGGTTGCTTTTTGCTGATGAAAATCATTAATCGAAAATGTTTTGGAACGCATCCAGAATTTTTATATGGGGTACTAGAAATGTTCTGGACCTTCACAGATATTTTCGGATTAATTGGTCACGAAAAAATGTTTTCATGAATAGTGGAAAACACTATTTAGATGCTTTTTGGAAAGCCACTTTTTGGGGCTTTTCCCAAAAGATCAAGAGGGATGACATGGAAGGATAAGAGCCCCTTTTTGAAAGGGCCCACTAGTGGTGGACAGCCAAGGGTGGAGCTCCATGGAGCTCCACTTGCCTCTCCATTATGCCTTTTATGTGAGACATATACCATGGGCATTTTGGGGTTTACACGTGCCACCCTACCCCTTGCATTGTCCTATAAATAGAGGTAGAGAGAAGCTCTCCACACTCACTCCAACTCTCATACACATGCCATGCATGATCTAGCTTTCTCTCCCTCAGATGAAATAGTTTCGTGGAGCCGAAAGATGAAATAGTTTCGTGGAGCCGAAAGGTTGTCTGGATTCCAACAGAAACTAATTTTGGATGGCGAAGCCCTACCGGATAGCTGACACCATATGTGTGCAACCCCGTAGAGAGGTCGTAGGTTCGATCTTTTGCCTGAGGGGCTGTTCGAGGGCCTCCCGGAGGGCTGTTCGAGTGACCGTCCGAGTTTCTGAGAGTGACTCCTGAAGGGTTGTCTGAGTGACCGTTTGAATTTCTGAGAGTGGCTCCTGAAGAGCTGTCCGTGACATCGTCCGAGGGACTGTCCGACCGCGTTCCGAAGGCCTGTCCGTGGTATAGATGACGGAGAACATCCTCGCAGTTGGGAGGTTGTAAATCCTACCTGCGGGGATCTGCATCGACGATCTACATCGACTCTACTTCCGCTGCGCCACGAGTCGGTAATGATCAGATCAAAACCTTGTATGCATCTCCATAGTGATCCTGGCATGTTCATAGTGCGGAAATTTTTTGTTTTCTGTTGCGCTCCCCTACAACGTTTTCTTGAACAGATTATGGGTCACTCGGAAAGGCATCAAGGAAGAGCGACGCGTTAAGCTACAGAATTATGCTCCCACAGACCCTATGTTTGGTGCACAACTAACACTTAGGCAGTGGGTTTATTCATCGGGCATTTCCTGCAGAACTTGTCCAAGTTGTTGATGGTCAGCTTCTGCAAGGTTCCTCTCTTCCTTGCTGCAGCCGGGACGGTTGTTTTCTAGCGTCGATCTTCCAATTGGGATTGATCTGCTCTAGCTACTTGCCTGGCCAGAGGATGACTATGAGCGATGTGGTTGTTACGCTCAAGAAGATCAAAGTTGAGTACACCAAACTAATACAATTGGGATTCGCAACGTTCATAAGAAAAAGAAAAAAACATTACAAAAAATTCTGAACATAACCTTATCTTATTTTAATTTGTAGTTAGTGTAATTAGAAGCATTTCCCTGCAAAAATAAAATAGAAGCATCAAATATGGCCTAAATATATCTGAATCTTATTGTGAATTTAGACGGGAAATGTAACAGAACGGAGTTGTGTTTCCTACCAATTTTGTATCCAGATTGGATTTCACAATAAATGTGGTATTTATAATTCTCTAATTATTGAAGGAAATATGACATACTGAGTTAGTGTGCACCAAAGTTTACCCTTTTTGCATCCCATAATATAAACATGTGTTTTTTTTACTTTCACAACATAGACATGTTCAAAAAACAGAATTGCCATGTGAAAATTTTAAATTTATGTATAAGCCTCATATGTAGGTGCTCTTCCCAATATTCTATCAAGGGAGCAAAATATACCTCGAGTTACTATGGAGTGTCCATCCTACATACATATGTAATCTCACATATTCATACGCTCTGTTGTTGTAGTGATGGAGGAGGTCGTAGTTTTGATTGTGGGCGCAGGGCCTGCAGGGCTCGCAACTGCAGCATGCCTTAGCCAATTCTCCATCCCCTATGTCATCGTTGAGCGTGAGAATTGCAGCGCATCACTATGGCGCAACCGCACGTATGACCGGCTGAAGCTACATCTAGCGAGGGAATTTTGTGAGTTGCCACACATGCCGTACCCAGCAGATACCCCAACATACATACCAAAGAACACTTTCATCAAGTATGTGGATGACTACATTGAGTGTTTCACTATCCATCCGAGGTATCTCACTGTTGTTGAGTCATCCACATATGACTTCAATGGAAAATATTGGTCTATCATGGCGCGCGACATGGCAAAGTGCACAATAGTTAATTACAGGGCGAAGTTTCTTGTTGTGGCAAGTGGTGAGAATAGTGTTGAGAATATTCCAGTGGTCCCTGGCCTGGAAAACTTCTCGGGTGTGGCCATCCACTCATCATGTTACAAGTCAGGCATCGACTACTCCGGGAGGAATGTGTTGGTCATCGGATCTGGTAACTCTGGGATGGAGATCGCCTACGACCTTGCTTCTCATGGTGCCAATACTTCTATAGTTATACGAAGTCCGGTATGTATAATATATGTGACTTTAACTGCAAATCTCTTTTATATATCTTATTTTATCTTGCATATTGCAAAAGATGGTGACCCTTTTGTGGTTGCAGATTCATGTAATGACAAAGGAATTAATCCGACTAGGGATGACACTTGTCCATTATCTTCCACTAAAGATGATAGATGGTCTCCTTTTGATGATGGCAAATTTCGTATTCGGGGACCTCTCTAGGCATGGCATCACAAGACCAGAAAATGGTCCACTTGTCCTGAAGTCGGAAACTGGTCGATCCGCAGTGATTGATGTTGGCACCATAGGGTTAATCAAGAATGACAAAATTAAAGTGAGCATATCCTTGGTCAAAATGTACATAGTATAAGAAATTTAGTTTCATATATGACAAGTTATAGTTTTTAACCTGTTGTAGGTTCATGGAAGGATTACTAAGATCAAAGGAAAAATAATTGAATTTGAAGGTGGGAAGGAAGCCTCCTTTGATGCCATTGTGTTTGCAACCGGATACAAAAGCACAGCAAATTCATGGCTCAAGGTAATAAGATAAACTGAGATTTTAATTTCGTCCACTGTAACTTCTCTAGATGCAAGACTTGTTATATGTTCTAAATCAAGTAAGATTTGCAAGTGCAGAATGATAAGGACATGCTAAATAGCGATGGCTTGCCCAAGAAGGAATTCCCTAATCATTGGAAAGGGGCAAATGGGCTCTATTGTGCCGGGTTAGGGAGAAGGGGATTGGCTGGTATTGCCATGGATGCTAAGAACATCGCCAATGACATTAAACGTAGCAGACTCTATGTGCAGCTAAATTAGCATTTATATGTCTTCTTCTTTTTTTTTTTGAAGGGAAGCATTTATATGTCTTCTACTAGGAGAAAAGTGTTGGATTCCTACAATTTATCCATAATAGGTTCGATCAGATGCTGCAAAATTTAGTTCATGTCAGAGTCCTATATGATACTCCCTTCGTTCCTAAATATAAGCATTTTCAGAGATTTCAATATGGACTACATACGGAGCAAAATGAGTGAATCTACACTATAAAATATGTCTATATACATTTGTATGCAGTCCATATTGAAATCTCTTAATGGGCTTATATTTAGAAACGGAGGGAGTAGAATATTATTCCTAGTGTTGTACCATTACAGTCTACAGTAGGTTGTGTCCAAGTTTTAAATTTGACAGTTTTCTGCCGGTTTTGGTTTAGTTATCCTTTATTATAAATAATCTAATGAAACTGGTCCAAAATATCGTGCGTACTCGGGTTGTTTCCCAAATATTCTGAAACAGGTCCAAATATTCCATGGTATAGTGAATTGGTCCGGAACTGCAGTTAAACATGCAGGCTCGGGTAGTTTCCCAAATATTCTGAAACTTTCGTCAGTGCTTCCCAAATCTTCCCATGATCATTTTAAGTCTGGCTGCTTAGCCTGAAAGACCAGACCATGACGTCCCCGGCAGCATCAGTGAGGAGGCGGTTTAGAGGGCCGCCTGGCACGGAACATGATGTCGTGTCGATGGTTCCAAATTCGCCACAGCAGCAGCAGCCAGACAGTGCTCCAGTAGCGATGGTGCAGAGCGCCAGATCATCTGAAGCTTTGCACAACCTTCTCTCCCAAAGGTCTCAGGCAGCTAGCACGTTGAGGGGACATGATATAATTGCTCCCAAGTGACAACCCAGGCTGTTCACATTTCTCATTTCATTGGGCATTTGATCAAGTAGCGACAGTGCCGAGAGCCAGATCCTCTGAAGCTATACAACCTACCCTCCCAAAGGTCTCAAGCAACTAGCACGTTGAGAGGGCATACAGATCTTCATGGCATGCTATAAACCCAGTGCTAAATACAGACATCATTTGCAGATTCAGAGTGGGCGTCCATGGGCAACTTTGAGACTTTAGTACCTTGATTCATCTGCCAGTTACATTTCTTCTAGAGCTTTTCTCCTTTCATTCATTCATCATCTGATCCTTGTAGGTCATGGACAAGAAGCTCGCACTCCCTAAGAAGCAACTTCCAGTTTTGTGCCAAAAGATCAGGTATTTGATCAGCAAGATGAAATCGAAGAGTTTCTATTTTCCAGACAAAATAAATACTGTACACTGTGCGCCATGAAACATGCTCTGTTTGATACTGGTATAAACATCAGAATCCCTGTCCTGCTGATACTTTGCTATAAAAACATTTGAATCTTAATGTATGTTAATACAGAAGATGCCGGAGCTTGGCAGACTGGTAAGAAATCACCACCACATGGCAGCAATGAAGATGCCGGGGCTTTCTACAGAAGTTGAGATTAGTGGTGACCCAACAGGTCAACGTTAAAGCCCTTTATCCCTCATCGTTTTCTTCACCTTCTCGAGCTCCTCCAACCTACCCGTGTTGTCATACATTTTCATCAGTGTGACGAAATGATGCGCATTGTCAGGCTCCAGGTCGAATAACTTCTTGGCGGCAATTTCGCCTATCCTTATGTTGCCATGTACTGAACTAGCATGAAGCAGCGCCCTCAAGACTGTTGGCTCGCTGCCGAGACGCGGCCGCTTCGACATGAACTCATAAGCCTCATCCACCATCCCAGCTTTGCCTAGCATGTTGACCACAGAGGTACAGTGCTGTACAGTATGCTGAATCCTGTACTTGTTCTCCATCTCAGAGAACAGCCTCATGCCGCCCTCCACCAACCCTAGATTGTCGCACGCGGACAGCACCGCGACGAAGGTGGCCTCGTTCGGCTGCAGTCCGGAGTCAACCATGCGGCGGAACATCATGAGAACGCCGAAATGTTGGCTGTGTGCAGAGATTATAGCATTCCATGACGCCAGATCCCTCGCGGGCATCGACTCGAAAATGGAAAGAGCATGTCCTAGCTGTTTCTTTCTGGCGTACATTCCAATCAGAGCATTTGCCACTGGCAACTCTATCTCAAGCTCATGGCGAATCACCCAGGCATGAACCTCCAGTCCCTGTTTGCCATCATCAGGGTGATGGCAGAGCATCTTCGACAGCACGACCGAGTCGGGCTTGTGCCCTTCTCCGAGCATCCTTCTCCAGACCTCCGTTGCCTGAGGAGAGAGGCCACCGTGCCCCAGCAAGCCAGCGAGCATGACGTTCCACGAGACGGCGTCCCTCTCCGGCATTGCGTCAAACACCTGGCACGCCATCTCCAGGTCGCCGCACTGGGCGTACATCTCCACGAGGGCGTCGCACACGGAGACGTCGGCAGCGAGGCCGGCGCTCACGGCGTCGCGGTGCACGGCCCGACCGAGCTCGGCGGACCGGGCGCCTGCGCAGGCCCGGAGCGCGCTCTCGAAGGTGAACCCGTCGCGCGGGGCGCCCTCCTCGTCCATCTGGAGGTAGAGGGCAAGCGCATCGTCGTAGCGGCCGACGTGTGCGTAGCCGGCGACGAGGCAGTTCCACGGGAACGCGCGGTCCCGGCGGGTGCGCGCGGGAAGGAGGTGGTCGAAGATGTGGTGCGCGTAGGCGAGGAGGCCGAGGGAGGCGTGGATGTGGAGGAGGCGGAGCGCGAGGTCCGGGTGGCGGCGGAGGAGGGAGACGGGCAGGAGGCCGCGGAGGGCCGCGAGGCGGCGGCGCGGGGACGGGTGGAGCGGGAGCGCGGCGAGGAGCGGGGCGAGGAGGGACGGCGTGAGGAGGCGCGGCTGGGCCTCCAGGTCGGAGAACACGCGGTCGAGGGTCGCCGGACGTGTCGGCGGCGGTGTCGGCGTGGAGAGGGGAGGGGCGAGGCGGGTGGAGGGAGCCGGAGCGCGGCGGTGGCGCCGCCGCGGGAGCGCGCGCGAGGCGTGGGTGACAGCTGCGGTCAGCGCCATTGGTTGCTTATCGTTGCTTTTCAGTTCAGAAAGCTGTCAGTCAGTCTTTTTCTTAACGCAACGCAGACGCAAGAGCTCGTATAAGCGCGCATACACTCACCCTTATGAACACACACCCTATCCTATACGCACCTTTGAGAAACTGAGCCGGCATATCGAGATTTTACGAAGTTACCGTAGGCGCCTTGTAGTCGGCAGGAACGTATCCTCCCGCTAAAAGTGTATCACCGGAAATTCTGAAATAAATCCAGGATAAATGCGAGCACTAGGATTTGAACCCTGATGGGCTATACCACTGTCACGTGGATTAGTAGATTCCATCAAAACTTTTTTTACTAGTAATAAAGATGCAATAAAAATAAAAATAAAATAGTAAAAGAGCTCCAAAAGTCCAAGAAAATAGGAGCAAGTGCTTGCCATGGACATAGTTTTTTTTTTGTGGGTAGTCATGGACCTAGTTTTGACTATAGGCTAACCCGTGCTTCGCTTCGCCGTTATTCGCTTGTTGGATTAAATCTTTTATATCTAGTAGAGTAGATTATTATGATTAGTTGTTTTGTTTTGATTTTATCTGTGTTGACTTATGTTTTGAGAGTGTGTTTTTTCATATGTCTTGTTCCATTGCTATTGGAGAAAGTATTTGTGCCTAGACGAGAATGAAGTTATTTGTTGTGTGATTGGAGTGTCTTTAAATGTTCAGCCTTGATGTCAGCATGTCAGCCGGTGGTGATTGTTTGAGCCTACCGAGAGCTCATATTCCATACTAAAACAGTGAAAGTATTTATGTAATGCTAACATGGGGCTCACCCGACTTCTAACCCAGAAAAAGTTAGCCGAATTAATAGATGTTTTCCTCACTCGGCTCCCTACTCTTTATTTAGTTTCTTCACTCACCTGACTTCTAACTCAGAAAAAAAATCAACTCTAATTTTTATTTGAAAAAGTTAGCTGAATTAATAGATGTTCAAGGATTTCTAAAAAATATTATAAATTTTAGAAAAAATCACAAATTTATAAAATAATCATTGATTTTAGAAAATAATTGTAAATTAAATAATTTTTCAAACTTGTAAAAAATCACAGACTTAAGAAATATCTACAAATCTAATAAATATTAATGAATCCAACAAATATGTTAATTTTTTTAAAAAAATGTTTGTGTTTTTAATGTTCACAAGTTTTAATAAGCGCTCAGGAATTAAAATGTGAAAAAATTAAAAATTAGAAGTGAAAGAGAAATAAAAACTACACAACACATGCACTTACAGGGGGGGCCCGCAATGACACCACTACCCCCAAAGCACCAGGACGATTCAAATCAACAAAGCTTAGTATCTATATATATATTGATTGATTGATGTGTTAGGGAAGCACACTTAGGCGGTCAATTTGATCCTTCCTAACTGAATGTCAAGGCATATATACATCTTAGAAATGACAATTACTGAATTTATGGCACATTTGATTCAAAACTAATATAAGAGCTTTAGTTGCTTTTGCAGTTTGTTGAATCAGTCTGACATCATTCTCTTTGAAAAATTATATTATAACAGTTATACGCTAATTATTATATTTTTGTTAGTTGTTAGCTCAATATGCCAATGTTGAGGTGCATATCGGGCAAAACGCCTCCTGTAGCCGAGGACGATCAGCAAGCCTGCCGAGGAGCTTAATTGCGGGATGACATCCTATGCTAGGACGACAAGAGTAGAAATAGATAAGTTCTCGATAGAGGGGGCATGTGGAAGCAATATTGTGCGATAAAATGTTCTGGAAATTTCGGCCGACTTAGGTATTCATTTTGCACTTTGAGTGGTTACAATTAAGAAAGGGTAGGGTATCAATGTTGGTAGATGAATCTTGTTGTTGCTCAGTTGAACTCAACCAAATCCCAGTGAAAACTCTTCGAAATTACTTATAGAAATTGTGTTCAGTGGTTCATGCATGGGAAAGCAGGGCGATGGATCAAATATAACATAGGTGAATTAACCAAGCAGAATGAAATAATTCTTCTAGGAGCTATCCATGACTCCATACCCTATCTAAAGCAGCACAAAATCTGGTTGTGATCAACTTAATTTGTCACTAGAGCCCCAAGGTGGGTATGTTCTTAATTAGTACTATTGCATAAGAAAAAAAAAAGAAATGAAAGGGCTTCTTTGGTTCACAGATAGAGGATTCAGATATCATGGCATACTGAATCATACAGGAAATAACAACAGAAAGATATGTTGTTTTAGTTATTTTTTGCACCATAATAAAAACGCAAGAACTCCATGAGATTGGCCCCGAGGGAAATTTGTATTCTGAGTTCCATAGGGAAAAAAATCCTAGGGCTTCCAATCCTATAAACCTATTAAGGCATGAAAAAATCTTAAAAATCAAGTGGCCCTAAAGTGACACGCACACGAGTTAATACTTATTTCCTTGTATCAAAACATAAGACGTTTTTTTATACTCCAGGGGAATGTCATATATCACAAGTGCATCGCTTGTCACCCGGCAATAAGTAGTTAATGTCGGTTGGAGGTGACTGGCAATGGCAGCATGGACCTCTTTGGCGGAGGAACTGAGCACACATCGTCTTCTTCCTCCTTCTCCTCCTCACCGCGACCTCTCTTGGGTGGGAGAACCTCCTCCACGTCCTTTTCATCGTCATTGTCTGGTGTGGTGGCGAACACGCGTTTTAAGAAGTTGCAACAGAGATGAGGACTAGACCACCAGTCATCGATCAAGACAGGCGGCGGCAGCAAGGTCTTGGTGCTCATGTCGAGGCGACATTGGTGGACCTGCTTGTAGTCCCCCGCATTGAGGCTGAAGCACAACATGCCGCCACCGCCACCGCCACCATTGTTCTCCAATGCACACAACATCGGGAGGATCGGCTCCACGCGTGGTAGCCTCGCCGCCTTGAAGCCCTCCATTTCCCACAGTTCAGCCACACGGAGGTCCTCACCGCCGTCGTCCCTCTCCCACTGCTTGGTGGCCACGTCCATTGTCCATACCGCCACCGCCATGTCCCCAGGCGGCACGGGCTTGTCGCACGTTTTGCAGGCTGAGAATGGATTTTTAGATCCCGGGTGCCTAGGCACCCCCTTATCTTACCATTCCTTTAGAATATGGTCCATCGAGATTTGTGCGACTCACTGTAGCCAAGGAAACCATTAGCAGTTCTGGTGCCTCGTTAAGTGCAGGAGTTGACATGTCGACCCGGTCGTGAAAATACCTCTTAAAAAACTATCCAAAAGGCTTTGCAGCCGACAGCTCTCTCTGGTTACTTTTGCATGCTGCGCACTCTCTCTCTCTCCTCTTCTTTCGTTTCAACACCTTAGCGTCTCACGGGTGAGGAGCGACAGTGAGCCAGCGGTGCGACAGGTGACCCAGCTTTACTGCTCTCTGAACGAATCAATAAGGATTACCCGCACCCAAACCCTGCGTGTGCAATGTTGATGTACAATTAGATGTTAGATCTTGATCGAAGTAATTACCACCATTGAAAGTATTGTTCATCAGGCATCACATAAAACGCTCTTGTTCGTTTGTTTAGTTTTCCTTCTAAGTGTTTCTCTATTTTGACATCGCTAATCTCCCAAAGTACAACATTTAAGCAAAAAACTGTTTTGTGAGCAAAATATTGTCTAGAGGACCTGTGATTAGGGTGCTAATAAATGTGGATCTTCAAGGAACCCTCCCTCACAAAACTCTCCTTCATCAATAGTCTCAATAATGGCGACCTGCAAAAAGGAGTGATGGCCCATCAAATCACTAGTCAGCCCACAGACTGGCCAAATTGGATGAAGAGATGCTGCCTCGCCTATGTCAGATACCTATCACTCCTACTAGGGGCCTACCATGGAATACGCTAATATACGGCCTTTCATGCCACGGTGGAAAAGGCTATACGGCTGACAGCACACATCCCGATACTGGTTCAACGTGGTGGATTCCGAGCTACCCGCAGACCGGCCTCTGCAACGTTTTATCGGAGAAGAGAGAGAGATTGTGCATGCATGTGCGAAAAGTGCCTGTAGCTACCGAGCTTCATTGCTCTTGATATTTGAATTTTTTGAAAAACACACTTTCGATGCTCAAAAAAAATCTTAAAACAAATATGTGAATACGTACACATATTCCTAAGGACTGGTAGAAATCTAGAGATGAAATACTTTGTATTTTAGGAAATACAAAAAAGAGCAATTTCTGACAGAAATGGCACCTTTTTTCTCGTATATAATGTCAGAAATTTGTTTTTTTCTATAGTCCAAAACAAAACGACATTTGTACCGAAACTTGCAACGGGTATTCGGAATGTGTATATGCATCCTGGGAAATAATTTCACATTTTTTTAAAACTTCAAAAATACGAATTTGAAAAAATCAAATATAGAGAGCACTGGTGCTCGGGTGCTGCAACGCCGCTTTCCATGCATGTGCAATAACGGAGAGATAGCATCCTGTCTCGTGACAGAGAAACGTCTGTCATACAATGTACGCATTTTACAGCGATTTGGAGACTGGGACCA